ACCTTTAGGCGTAGAATTAATGAACTGTTTCTGATAAAGGGTAGCTTACTCTACCCAGACAGGCAGAGTGATGTACCCTTTTAGCGAAAAAGTAAAATAGTAAACCCGATAACGAAGAATAGAATACCCCTACTTTGAAAGCGAACAACAATCTACTATTATCCGTTGAAGGATATACTCTTATCTTAAAATCGTAGAATAATGAATCCTTATGTACCCATCATATACCCCTTGAGTTTTCATAAACCCATAGTGTCATAAAGTCTTCGACTAGTAAAGGCTAAAAGGGTTGATCATATCGGAGTAAACCCTTCAAGGGTTTAATGGCGACTTTTTTAAGCGTAGGGGTAAATCAATACCCGGATTCTTTTTATCAGTGTAGTATCGTGATTGTCCTATGAGAGTGTGAGTATGAGTTTTTAATGGCTTGTATTTATTTGAGCAATTTTTATAGTATTAAATGTCCAATAAATTCATATTTTAACAACAAAAAACAAAGAAAAGCTATATTGTTTGTGGAACTCACATATATTTTCGAAGAAAATGGTGAGTGCACGTTTAAAAACGAGCTTTTTGCGGCTTCCTACCCCTTCCCCATTATAGACCTGAGCAACTAATCTCTGCCATATTTAACGGTACCAGTTACAATTAACCCTCCATTAAAAACATAAGCAAATAAGCAATGACCTGATTATAGATTTTTCATTTGGGTTATTTTGTATTATTTTAGTAAGCCTGATAAATACATGTGAGTTCTACACTTTAGCCCCGACAGGACTGCGCTAGCAATCTCCTTTTTCAATTAGTAAAAATTAGTTAAATTTTAAAATTTACCAAATTCTGCATTTGATCTATGAGCCTAATATGGAAAGGGTCAAGTGATCAATGCAGACTATATTCGTACATATTTTAACACAACTTTCTAATATATTATATCAATCAAGTTTTCAGTAAAGTAATTATTTTTAAATCGATTATGTTTTTATTGACAAAGCTGACAAACAAACAGTTTTTGATGGATGCAACAAATAATAATATGTTGCACAATAATTAATGATAACATATTGTAATCAATTTTTAGAATATTTTCTTACAGTATTGATAGTAAACTAGTGATTTGAGAGTCATTCATGATTGTAAATAGTGGCATCAACGATCGTATACAACCGTCTTTGTTCGTCGTAATCATCCATATCTGAACCTGTTCGATTTGGATATAGCCTAAAAAACTGAGAATCATGCGAATCAATACAAATGAATTGAAGAGAAACTAAGTTCCAGAAGTATTCAACAGATTTTTAAAATATCTTCTAGTACAAGTTCAATAAGTGAAGAAAAATTAGATAGTCTTTCGTAGATAACTTAGTATTTTGGACCGATTTCATACATATAGACAAATAATGATATGATCAGAAAAATGGAAGTATGCAAGATTAAATTAGATGAGCTTTCTAATATTGAGATGATTGGCATGAAAGTATTTCAGAGGGTTTTTTATTGTTTGATTCTCAAATGATAACGACCTAGAATTTCAACAATGATGAATGCAAAAATCAATTCATCTGTATTTCTTCTATATCTATTATGGAGCATTGACGAGAAAATAAAATCAGTGCAATATATCGCTTGTGTAATATGTTTGGTGTTGGGTCAGCATTGAAGATTGCGCTTCGGCATCAAGTGAATAGTTACGAAAGTAAATGTTAAGTATCATTTCTTTTACATGTATTTATATGATATATTTTCTGATGTGTATTATTCAGTAGACTCGTTTAAATTATAATGACATATTGGTTGATATTTGAGGCCAATATACTACAGTTAGTAGATAAATAAAGTGACGAGAAAATTTAGTAGGAAAATTAACTGTAGATATGTATGATAAAGCTCGGTCAATTTTTCTACGCAAACACCTAACCATCGTTTTCAATTGTAATCTTCATCGAGAATCCGTTGAATACCATCAACTAAACTATCGGGCGAGTGTACAAAGATTAACTTAGCTGTTGGTGCATATTGATGAATCAAATTGACAAGACAATTAAACCAATGCAATGTAGTAATTTCATGTGGAAAGTGATCATCATAGCCATTGAGACCACCACCTTAATAGATTTTCACAGAAAATTGTTGTGTTTGTTGTTGCTATTCAAAATATATCAAATAAAAATTCTTATCAATGGATACGGCGTCCCAATCAGTTTGCTTTAGTAAAGCGATAATCTTTTCATCGCCATCTCTACTATTTTCTAGATTGCCATAAATAATGATATTTCTATAACCAATTGATTTCAAATATTCTTCTGCTTTGGCTGCTATACCTACGCCACGACCCAGTGTCAAAATTTTCGAATCGTAACATTTGGATAGTGTCGTAGACATGTGTGTGTATACGTTTGTCAATACATAGAGTATATCTTTTTCTATTTCTATATTGTAAATATGAAGGGTGAAAGTATGGCTATGCTTATTGGAGTCGTTTCGAAGCTTATTGTATTATGAAATGATCAAGCGCCCTCTAACACACAGACACCTGGCTCACCTTTCAAATCAATTTTCTTAAAGTAATTTCTATTTTTCATGTTCCTTAAAGAAGCAGAACTTATATCGGAGTTTTTTTCCTTGAGCAAACAACATCAATTCACTGATTTATACAAGCCTAAGTTAGTAATTGTATTCGTAGTTTGACTCATTCTTTCATCTCTATAACTGTAAACACATGTGAACACGTTATCTATAATATCATGCGATCGTCAAAGAGATTACAAAATCTACGTAGCTGTTTACAGTGAGTATCAAATTTGTTGTTATGAATTGTACAATTTAACTATTTGTATAAAATCAGTTACGTATAATCATAAATTTATTTGATTTTATTGCATGGTGAAATGCAAAACTTTTAAACCAACACTATGTTGGGTTGATATGGTGTTGACATGTTCGTTCCGAGATAAAATCCTGGATGAGGTGGTTGATTGTAAGCAGAATTTTGCCAAGCTATGGCGACTCGATATTGTGGATCATGCATCAATGTGTAGATACGGGTGTTGGTGGGTATGACTGTAGTGAATAATAATAGTTTCGTATTGTCATGACTTCTATAGATAGCCTCTTCTCGCCAATCACCTAGTAGATCCGCGACCAATGCTGGATTTGCTTTACTACCATTGCTGTCGGTAGCACCAGCGTGCTGATAGAAAGTAAATAAGCGACTTGTTGTATTTCGAGAATAATCCCATTTATCTAACTTTGTTCCATCCAAAAGTTCTCGTGATAGATCACCATCCCACCATATACCAAAATTCATCGAAGGTCGATTTGCTGCAATTTGAATACCTTTGCAATCATACAAACCACCAGATGCTCCCCAAACTTCTAGGCCTTTATAGCGAGGATCTATATCGGCAGCCATAGCCCTACCTATGTCTCCTGTAGTCGAAACTCCCCAAAGAACCTGACCAGTTTTACCATCATGTAACGCTAACCCATGTTGTCCATAAGATTTTCGATCTTCATAACATTGCCATACTTCTTGTCCTGGTCTATCAGGATCTATATCCGTCATATGAAGAGCGTCACCGTGTCCCTTACTATTCGTATATAATCCTCTACCATTATCATCTACAGCACTTGCACCATTACATATTTCATCTTTTCCATCTCCGTCTACATCTCCAACTGTCATCTGATGATTTCCTTGACCTGCATACAGACTATTTCCAGGCGTTGATGATGAACTATCAAATGTCCAACGACGTGTTAGGTTTCCATTTCTCCAATCCCAAGCTGTTCGAACTAATCGAGTATAATATCCTCGTCCCATAATTAAACTTGGTCTTCTACCATCTACATATGCAACAGCTGCAACAAAGCGGTCAACACGATTTCCATAGTTATCACCCCATGAAGTTACACTACCACGAGCAGGTACAAAATCAGTCGTGGCCATCGCTCTACCTGACTGACCATTAAATACAGTTAAGTATTCTGGACCAGTGAGGATATAGCCGTTAGAGTTTCGGTGGTCTGCATTTGGATTGCCAATGACGACATTTCCTCCATCTTTCGTTCCGTCAGCAGTTTTACATGCCACTTCAGCTTTTCCATCTCCGTCTAAATCATAAACTATGAATTGAGTATAATGAGCACCAGCACGAATATTCTTTCCAAGATCAATTCTCCATAAGTGTGTACCATTCAACTTGTAAGCATCCAAATAAACATTACCTGTGTATCCAGAATGTGCATTATCATGAGAATTTGATGGATCCCATTTAAGAACAATTTCATATTCACCATCTCCATCGAGATCACCTACACTGCAATCATTGGCGTTGTAGGTGTACACAACACCATCGGGAGTTGTTCCACCTACTGGAATTTGCAACGGTATAGTAAGATATTGATGTGACCAGACCATTGCTGATTCTGAATATGCTTGTTCTACACCATTTAGAGTTGACCTTATTGTATATATATCGTTAGTGCTGGTGTAATCAACAAAGTTAGTACGATCGATTAAAGGTATTGGTGTAATGATCGTTTGACCTCTATATAAAACGAAGGCTATAGTCGGTGGATCAGTACCAAACAAACGCCAGCTAATATATACTTGGTTGTTGCTCGTTCGTACTGCTACTAACCCTCTATTTAATTTTTCCATTTGTTTCTGTGTTGCAGCATTGGAATCTAAACAAAAAATAATTTCATATCAGTGCTGAAGTCGAATTCTTTCGATTTGTTTATTTCGTTATTGAATGAAATCTGCTAGATGTAATCGTCTGTTCTATTCTTGTTGGCTTCAAGGACTATTAAAGATTATGCTTAGTTTTTCATATATTATACTTGAACGTTTTAGAAAAACTTGCAATTCGATTAATTGAAGCATTTCTTTAATGTACAATCAGTTTTACGTGAATCAAGTATGACTAGAGAGAGACTATTTATTCGCAACTGAATCGAAATCTGATATAATATTTTATTAGTGATACACAAAAATATTATTTTATCATAGTAAAAATGACCGTATGAAATTGAACATGTCCTAATTAGAACTAGTTAATACATGGTGCAATCTATTTTCTTGCACATCGTGCATAAATATGTAGTCTCATTTATTTAACAACACTAAATATACCTAAATTTTTTCTTACTTCTTGCAAGGTTTTTAGCATTCGCCGCCGATATAAAACAGAACAAGAAGAGCAATAGAAAAGCTGACGGACACATCATTTTCCAATTTTCCTTTTTAAAAATAACGATTCACAAGTACATATATACTCCTACAATCATGCTTATGTAATGATATTGTTTTTCAAGTCCTAAAATATGCGAATAAATTTGAAGCAGTAATCTTCGATCACTATTTCTTATTCTAAAAAAAGCATTCTGTCTAATCTTTACGTAATTGAAAAATACAAAATGTTGAAGCTATTTCACACGGGACATAAATATGCGTATCAGTGTCGGTATTGAGGGTGTTTATACATGAATATTCTTTTTAGAAGCTAAGTTAATAACAATGATAATTTCGGCATTGTTTAGGAGCCGTTATCGATTAAATTTGAAATCTACATTACTGCATGTCTATTAACAGCATACGTAAGTAAATTAAAAAACAGATCGACTTATAACGCTGAAGAACAATACAAATTAATTTGGTAATCATAACGTTTACTTTTTCGCAGTCGACTGAGTCGAATCAAAATACAGGATAACATAGTTAACTCATGTGCTTTATATATATATATAAATGAAATGAATACAGATTTTTATTTGTTGGAGTGTTTCGTCCTATTCATTAATGTAACAACCGCAGACATAAATGGAAATTCAAAAAACTAGGTTTGTTCAAGGCAGACAATTGATAGTGATATAATTAAAAAGTGGTGAAGATTTTTTTAAATATTATAAATATGTTGTATATACTTTCAGAGCGATACTTAAATGAATTATAGACATCGGATTTAGCATTCGATTAAATAGTTTAGTGTATTTGACCACTTTGACTCTTTGTTTTTTTAATGTCACTGGATAACAGTTCTGCAAGATGGAAACATTTAGAGTATTGTAGTAACTCTAACACACTCTCACATATTTCGTCAAACATTTTCAAATCAACTCAAGAAGGAAAAACCCTGCATCCTTTTCTTAACACTCTTACATGTCTACGTAATGATAAGTAATCATTTAAATAAAATAAACTGCTGCTGACGAACATTTGATTACGTAGACATGGCTAATTTCCTGTTAGAAATGCGTCAGAAAAGACGTAATATAACGTGAGACAGCGATAAGTACCCTAACACGTTTGACAAACGAGTAGGATAGAACGTATAAAAATACAAAAAAGAAAACGATTGCATATCAATCTTCTTTTTATCTGCCATGCTGTACCTTTACTTTATTTTATTATTGTCAGTATCGAATCGACTTGTTAATATTCTCATTTGTGCAACTGATTGCAATTTCTCCAGTTAACTAGACAATATCACTTTCCCATCATGTGCTGTTGTGGATAAATCTGATACTGAGCAAAGCTGTCAAGCTGAGTTATTTATAAACTATGCTGCTGGTTCTATTCTTGGACATCTTAAGGTTCAGACACCTCCGAGGAGTTGCATATTCTATACGGTGACCACTTTTTCACTTTACGATGAAACAGCCAATTGAATGACGGGGATCGACTGTTCTACGGCAGACAATTGTGATCAAGATATTCTAAAGCAAATAGTGAATATTAATTGACTTGAAATCCAGAATCAAATTGAGAGCTTAAGAAAGAATTTAACAGACATATTGTTTAATTCAAGTGATCTGCGACCCCATGACACGTGCCAAAGTGGTCACCGTTGCTCCGGTCAAGGATTCTGTAGCATGATGTATCAAATGTGGTTCGACAGCACAAAACCGATATTTCGAAGTAGATGTGCAAATTCTACAGAACGACCTGAACTTAAGTGGGGTCAAATATTTCATCACGATTCGTCATTCGAGGAGATAGCTTATACTTGCAATAAACCTTCGTGCGCTTCACAATCGACATCGGAAAGTATGATTGAAATGATTCAATATGATTATGTTTTACCCTTGAATGTCATGATACCACCAGTCACCACAACTGCACGATCATCCGCGCCATCAAAAATAACACCAAAACCAACTTTCACATCTTCAACGTCAACTTCAGTGTCTACTTCAGCAAAAACCGAAGCTGGATTCGTTCATCTAAATCAAACTGAAAAAATCATTTTTGGACTTTTATCCCTTTTTCTTATTGTGCGACTTTAAACGTTAGCCATTTATTAATTTCAGTTGCGAAACAGAAAAACCAGCTTGTTTCAAATAAGTTAATGAATAAAAAAGTTTGTGATTTCAAATATCAGACACTGATCCTTGAAAGAGTGATCACGTTTCAGTAACTCAATTGCTGTAACTCTGTATTCTATATATGTGGCACGCATTTTAGGATTTGAACTAGCTATCACTAATTTTGAGATCTTGCCCTAATTACTTCAATAATAAAGAATCATTGATAAAATTTGTTTCGACCTGTACATCTTACTCTCCTTTTTGAAAACTGGACATTATAATTGAAATGCTGCACATTTATTTTCTTTCATGATGCGACACCTAATCATTAGAAATAATATTTACTTAATTGATCTATCTGAAAAAGCAAGTTCGAATGAAACTCTATCCTTCAAACAATCAAGCAATTAAATTTAGCGGATGCAAACGTATTGTACTGCTTTTAACATAGTGCTGTTTATAGGTCACACTGCCGTAATTATGATAACTAAACGAAGCCGTGGTAGTCAGATCTGCTATCATAGCTTAAGCCTATAGAGTCTCGACTTTTACAGCAGTCTGTTCATCCGTATGCAAACACAAACAAGAAAAGTTAAAAAAACAATTGTATATACATATATCTTCATTCATATATTCACTTCGTTCTTTGTTTCTTTTTTTTACTATTTTATAACATTGTTGACTTGCTATTTTCTTTTAAATTCCATCCTCAAAAACACATTGACATTCCATGCTTACACTCATTCTTCTACAACAAAGCATAAAAATATCATAAAAGGTAGATAATATTGCAATTTGCATACCGTCATCATGTTGATGGTAATTTTTCTTTACTTGAAACATAGGATATTTCAATATGAGTCATACGTTGAAACAAGTGATAGTGTTATAAAACATGTGTGAGCACCGTTCCTAGTGTAAGTATTTACGGGGTTCACGATGAAATTATGACTGTGGAATTGAAGCCACTTAATTTTCTTTGTTTCATTGAGATAACATGCGTAAATAATGGATGAAGACGACGATCATCATCATCATCATTTGAAATCGTAAGAGTATTATTGTTTAAGAATGTAAGTCGGACTGAAAGAAAATTAAGATTTGGCACATTCCTTTTGAGTGTCTCTGCAAGATTGCATTGTGCCCAACGATTGCGTGTATTTAACTTTTTAACGACCAACCGTTCCAAATTAGGCATCTTGCTGAGGAAGCGAACGAAAACATTCCATTCAATCGTCGGTTGAATATCGTAAATGAATAGTTTCAATGTCGACGATTGACCACGAATAGAATCAATCCATGGTTTCCAATGACCAACAGCGCGACGTTTTCTGTGTACGAGATGAAAGACACGGAGAGACTGACCCTGACCAGAAAAGAGCCATTGACACAGACAAGCGGCATGTTTGAGTCGCATATTGGATAGATCAAGCGTGACTCTTTCGATAGTTGAAAACGTAGTTGATGTCAATCGAATTGCACGTTGAAGTGTGAGCGAACGAAGATGTGAAAATGTTGATGAAATAGATGCTGCATGACTATCGTGACGGACACTGGCGCTAACTATACTTGAACCGAAAAAATTAGTTGCAGTACGTTGATCGTCGACAGCAGAGCGAATTTCAAAATGAAGATTACTAAGAGAACGAAGGAGTTCATTAAAACGAGTATTAAGACCGAAAAAAGCTAGATATAGATCGTTAGCAGTAAGATAAGATTTCAATTCGTGAAAGATTTCATTTGGAAGATTTTCGAAGCATGAATATTGTATCATTTGGACGTTACTCATAATTTCACTAGAACTGACGATGGATAAATATTCGTTTTTATATCTTTAGTGCTTATTCTTCAGTCAGTTCTGTTCTATAATATCATCGTATATCAAAAATGACTGCTCTTTTTCTTCTTGCGTCATTGATATCGACATTTAGATAAAAAGAAAAACATTTTATTATGAAAGTAAATGCTTCATAAAATGCAGAAAATCAGTAGGACAATTCAAGCGCATTCTTAAACTATCTAAAAATTGATTTCAATCTCTAGTATAACTGTTTGCTTCTTTTACTTTTAGTTTGTTCATAATTTAATTCAAAATATTCGATTTCGTACTACCAAAGTTTTCTACACGCAGAATATTGACAAAGTAAACACAAGCATAGCTAGATAAGAAGAGAACAATAGACTTAGAGTCGAAACTCGAAAAAAGGAATGCTTTCTTCTACAGAAAATAACTGGTGACCTAAGGATAGTTAAGATTTACAGATGTAGGTGTCGGATAGTTGCGAATGCTAGTTTTGCACGGGTGCGGACCAATATTTATAAGTCCTCTTGGGCTGAGTTCCTAACAAGACCGAAACTTTGCTCCTTCATCAACATGACAGATACATTCCTTATATCGTCTTTTTCAGTTCGACTACCATGCCACATTGAATTTTTCTGTACTCGACAATTCAAAGATGCTCGTTCGAAATAGCCAGTATTCTTGATAATTTTTGCATTTTACTCTGATATCAGCTGCAAATTACCATTCACACGAAGAAAATTTCCCATAGATTTAAGTAGTTCCCTCAGCTACAGAGAGATTCATATGAAATAAAACGAGTTGATTTTGCTTGATTGTTTCTATGCTTGCAAGCTATGTGTCAAGTGGTATGCACACATAAAAAGCAAATAGAGACCTTCCATAAAATGTAATTAAAAGCTTGTGACATCAAGGAATTCAAATTTGTTGTTCGTTTGTCAAAATGATGTATTCAATTTTACTTTAGAAGTGCTTCTTTCGCTTGAGGGCGTAGGTGTCAGTACTATCTTTAATCACAGCACACCCACACCCTCAAGTTTTTCAATCATCCATTGCTACAACAAGAAATATTCACTTGACTTCCTACATTGAATTCAACATTAGCACACTATCAAAATGAATATGCACTAAAAATGGCTGATGAAGAATATACACAATTATTAGAATCGAAAATATCACATAAAGCATATGCTTATGCTAAGACACTAGTTACACATCTTCCACACATTTTCCAAGCACTTACTGATGAACATATACTTTATCACATGGTGATTTTTGGATAAATAATGTTTTTGTGCGTCGTGATCAGTCATATCGGTGGGAGACCGGAATTTTCGGGCCGGACTTTCAGACCAATTTTATACAAATTCATTAAACTCTGAGAAAAACACGAATTGTTTTGAAAATTGGTTTCTAAATTTTTTTAGTACCGATCGAAGCGGCGTTTTCAAGTACACAGAAGAAAAACTAGTTGAAATAAAAAAAGCGAATTTGTACCTAATATACATCTCAACAAATTTCGAAAAATATACCAGCAATAGTGAATTCTACATCTAAAATAAAAATAAAAAATGTGCATCCTTAAATCAATATTGAGATTACACTAGATTCGTTCGTGCTTGTTGTGGATAAACGATATGTATCTTAAAACGCCATACTATGTTCTATAATAATAGAAGTGCTGTTTTAAACACTATATTACTTCGCTCAGCATTATGTCGCTTTGCTCCGCACTACGTCACTTCGCTCGGCACTACGACGCTTTGCTCGATACTAAAAAAAAATCTAAAAACCAATTTTCAAAAAAATTCGTGTTTTTCTCAGAGTTTAATGAATTTGTATAAAATTGGTCCGAAAGTCCGGCCCGAAAATTCCGTGGGCCAAAATGCACGTAACCCACATCGGTTAGTACTATTTGATTGGCAGACTTTTTGTCGCACGAATGGATTAATCGATGTTGTATTTCTATTGCGTCTACTCGACAGTGATCAAAGTCGTTCGCTTGAACCAAGACTTCTTGAATTGTATTATCAAACGTTGTTAAAGTGTGTAGTTTCAAACTACGGCGCATCCACTATCCGGGATGATTATTACTTATTGGCTCTTCCATTCATGTTCATCATTTTTTCTTCTTTGAAATTCCTGAAAGAAATCAAGTTCAACAGAATACTGGTGATATTGGAAGACATTGTTCTGCATGGCAAGAAAAACAAAAAAAAACAGCATGCGAATGCGAACTAGGTATATAAAGATAGAAGAACAATAATTTATTTGGAAATACTGTCCTATTCTCTGCTTTTGTTCCATATTATGCAATAGATTTTCTTTTTATTATCTTTATTTCGCTCTGTATACTGTTCAATATTTTAAATGAGTGGGTGTGCTTTTGCATCTTAAAATTTGAAATGGTGTTGACTAATATTATTATTATCAGCAGCTGATCAATTATTTTATTAATACAGTAGAAGTGGTATCGATCTCTCCAAGGTTTTGAATTTATTATTTTTAATATTTTGTGAAACACGATCTGAAAGGAGTGTTGAAGTATATAGGGTAGAAATTTGGACCCATCCCCCGGCCCTCTTCACAGGCCGGGACAGAGAAATTAATTAGTTAGTTAACTGGCTAATTAATTAATTGATTAATTTTTCTGTCACGGCCTGTGATGGATTTTGAAGTCTTTGTAACGGTCTGTGATGGTCTCTAGAGACTCCGTATACCATAATACAGACCACGACAGAGAAGCTCCACAGACCATCACAGACCGTGGTAGACGGATTCCAGAAAAGGAGCTTTATCGTATTTCACATTTTAATCCCACAGGGATTGTGCCAACAGCTTTTTGTCTTACGAAGTAAAATTATAGTGGTAGTATATTTATCTATTTGTTGTTCGATCAATGATGATGAACAATTGATAATTTGTTTCACAAAACACTTCAATTACTATTGACTGGTAGCTATATGTATAAGTCAGATCTAGAAAATATGAAGTCCTACTGATTTCAAATAAATGGGTGATTGTGTCTGATAGCTCATTGAGAGAGACAAACCAGAGTAATATAATTTGTTGCAACCATTTTAATTCAACCATCAACATGGCCGACATTGATGGAAAGACATAAATTAGTAATAGTATTATTGATCAAGAATAGGTAGCCATTCAAATATATATTTATACGTTTCATATCGATGGCATTCATTGCGAATGTTCTATATATTGAAAAAGTTGCTCTTTGCTTTTGTCCATGGGAAATTTAAGTTAATCGTACGATAATTTTACAGCAGCTAATCATTTCTTGTTTCTATTTTTAATTTCGCTTTTTTTATTGATGGAAATTAATTAAAAAATTAAATTAAATTCGACATATTTCGCTACTTCATTAGCATCATCAAGAACTACAAAGACTAAAACAAAAGAATTATTTTCATTTTTATGTATGAATGTATGATTTAAATCAATACTGTCAGACGACGCCTATTCGTTTGATTAACACTAATAAATTCATCCATCGAAACCTCTGCTATAGAAAAATGTTTTTTTTTCATTATTGTAATAAATCTATTTGATTAATATAAACTATGAAAAAATGCTGTAGAACATCTCAATAATTTTGAAGCTAATTTTTTTTATTACATGATGGTAGTTTCATTTGTATGTTTGCCAAAAATAAAGCATTACTCATTCAAAGCAACTGTCAATAAATACTTGAATATGTGGCAGGCGAGTTTGGAATTTAGTTGAGTTTGGAATAGCTTTTTCTTAATTTTTTTAATAGAATTTTTGTATTGATAATTATTCCTTCCATCTTTTTACAAGGTTTTCATATAAATTCAACTCTCTGTACATTTGTTAAACAATGAGGACATGGGGACGTTGAATTTATCTGGGAAAAATAAATTATTTTATTTATACAACTTTTATAAATCAAATATAAAAATGTACTAAACATCCTTGTAATACCATCTGGTGATTAATTCAGAGGAGATTAATTATATTATGACTCATACCGGTAGAATTTAAATAAAAATTTTATTATTATTATTATACATAAAGCACAAGGTAATCATTTACCTATAATTTCTTTCATTCATTCGATTCAATTTAATAGTAAAATCTTTTTTCCTTTTAAATATATTTTATTTTATGAAACACGAGCAGGGGGGAAAAAAAGAAATTCAAATAATTTTATTTCGCGCATTCCAATCTCAACTGAAATTCTCATGTCAACTGTGACATATATAAGAATTCGTTTTCAGAAAAAGTAACTACGCAACCCATTCGCTAACCTTCACTAAAGAGCAAACGATCTTATTATTTCTGTCTTTTTTTTGTATGTTCACATAACTAACTACATAAGATGATCGTTGTCGATGAATATAATTTAATAAAGGCCATGAACGGGTAGAATCTAGCTATCCTCTTATTACTAGTTGATGACAAAATCGATTCATGATATAAAATGATAGAGTGAGAGACTTCTATAACCTAGAGCATTGATAAGAGTTATGTTTGCTCAATTAATTTTGTTCAGTTTTTTATTTTCGCATTGTTTAACTATAAAAAATAAGCCTTACAACATATGTGAAAAAAGAAATTTATGTCAAGTAAGTAAAATTTTATTCATGAATAGAAACTAATGTGAATATTTCTTTTATATCGTAGAAAAAATTGGAATTATGTCAGCCAGTTGTTATGCATTGCCATAATGAGTCTTGTCGGTATCGACTTTTTAATTCGTGTAATTATTTCAAGAAAAACAACTATTTTGAAGATTATCTTTCGGTTCTATTTCTAGACAATACTCAACGTTCATTGTATTCACGTTGGCTTTATGATCCGAATCAGCAAAGTTGCCGTCGATATCATAGTCAAATAGGAGATTTTGTTCATTTTCAATTTTTACGCGACTGCCAACGTTTATGTCCAATATCACGAAGGAGACAGATTGAAAAAATCAGTAAATACAATTTGATGCTTGTAAAAATAAATATCTATTTTTTATTTTTCTGTTTCAAAGTTAGTCTTCATGTAGCTGATACTGATTTTCAATATAGCGATACTGTCTATATTCATCTTTATATTGATCTTTCTCCAAGTTGGGTTTATCCGTTCACGACTACAATGGCAACTAGCATAAGTGATGACCAATTACAAACAGATTATTTGAGAAGTACGTCATTTTTCTTAAAGTTCTACGATATTTTCGTTCGCTCTTGATCTTCTTTGTTTTTTTCTTTTTTAAGACTATCGACGTCACTTTACAAATTTTATCGATCGACCGCACCAGTTTATACTTGATCGCCATGAACATATTAGAAACAGGAATTATTGGTCATAGCACATTGCCTGTTTTTTGAACTTCTCCATTAAATAATGCTGTCGCTTTCAATATTGAATATGCTCTTCGCAATGGAAGATTTCTCCTCAATTTATTTATTAATATCTAGGAAAATAGAGAAATTAGAAGCTTTAATTACTACATCTACATCACGATATGCCTGAATTTCAAGTTGTTTTAACTGAAAAATCTCAAAAGACTCAAATGAACAAACCTCTTTGATCCATAATATTATAATAGTCATTTCTAAAGTCTTGAAAACGCTCGAGCATTTTTTTAAAAGTTTTAACATTTTCTAAAGCTAATAAGACAAAAGAAAACGCCCCGACGGAAAATTTCTACACCTAGATTAATTAGAGCATTGGGAGTCTTCTATTGCGAAGAGAAATTCAGTTGTACTGTGTTTGATGTTGCTTATTTTAAAGACAAAATAAATAAAAGATATGGAATCATCATAACATGTGCTCTTTATAATATGTTAATAAATGACATCTTTGTATGAAATCAACAGCACGAGCACATACTTAAAACAAAAATAGAGTTTTTTTTTCTCAAGGATAAATGCTCTTTTCGTATTGATTTCTATTAATGATACGTAATCTAATTTCATTCAATGAAATTTATAAGGTTCTACAATTAAATTAGTATAATAAGGATGAGTTTCTTCAATTACAAATGTATCGAGTAATATATTCCTATTAACCTTGATAAATTAATATATATAATAACGCGATAGGTTTTCACATCGATCATCATGAGCATCAATTCATGTCAAATTCAAAGATAAAGATATTACTCGATCATAAGAATTTATCACTTGATGACGTGTAAAAGATTAAAGTCAATGAATTATCTTCAAACACGTAAAATAAAGTGTGCTCATTATTCTCTATATAGACGTATAAACAGGTAAACGAAGGATAAAAAATTAACCATCGAGCTAATTTATATTGCCGAACGAGAATCTTCATTTAAGCTCATCGTTTTTTAACAAGCACAATTATACAATGTTGTTAGTGTAAGTCTAAGAATATTCTTCCATAATGCCTTTCATCCAAAATCATGATACTATCAATTGACGTTTTAACTTCTAAGAAAACAGCTTGAAAAATAGTTAAACAAAGTAACTCAGGCCAAAAGACATTTTTTGGTCTGCTGCATATATCGAATATTGAAGCAAATTCTATAACATTGTGCAGGTAACGTGGAGCCTATTTATTAATTGAATTTCAGGTTAACATTGCAATAAAACAATCATAACTTCTAAAACAATGCTTCATTGTACCACTTCTAGTAGACTTTTTTTTCTATCGTATTTAATTGTACCTGTAAGAAAACTATAAATTTGAACGGAGATTATTAGTTTGGAATGCGCTGTCTGGGAAGTTGAGAGTATCGAGGATGCCTGGAAACGACCTTACGATATATCGAACAAATGAACATCATTACATGACTCACTGTTACATAGTATGTAACGATAATCAGAGAGGTTCTATTTGTCATTGGCGCTGAATAAGTATCACTAGTAATGTACATTTATAACATCGAATAAACATTTTTTGCAAGAATAAACAAGAAGAAAATAGAACAATTTAAAAGAAACCGCAGTGATCAGTAGTTGAATATTAGAATAATCAACAAAAAAAGTATTTTCTATAAAATCAATCGTCGCCATATGTAAAATTGTGATACACCGAGACCCGTTTTCTCAGTATCATTTTCAGGGGTTTCATTATCAAGTTTTTGAAATCTTCAACTAACAACAATGCGAAGCTAAAGGCTCAAGTACTGAATCAGAATCCACGAGTAATCACATCAACCAATGATCTCAATCTTACTCCATATTCTATTAAAAATTATTCAATAAAAGCGCTCTTAGAAAAAAGAATTTGTCACGTCCAACTTCGATTTAGCTAAATACTATTACAGCAGACGAAAATTAAAATAGAAAGATGGATTGAAATTTCAAACGATAATCAGATTGAGTAAAAGTTTTATGGAAAATAATTATTTTTCTTATGAAGTATAATATTATCATCGAATACGTGATGGAGCAGTCGGATCCTCTGTTCTTCATCAAACTTGTGGATCAATAGAATTATTATTGCTGCCCTTTTTCTATGAATAAGCATTGTTATATACATCTAATACTAATATATATGTTTATATAAGTAAAATAAAAGCTTATTTGAAATCAATTCAATGCCTACTGGAATAAATACTTCATTATTTACATGGAAAAACAAATGCAATAAAATGTATAACAATTTCAATATTATATTTAAACATTTTCTCTAAATGATGTAGTATAAATAATATTGACCAAAATAAAAGATTTTTATATCAACTTAAAAATAAATCATATTTTCCTTTTTTCCTCCATTTTTAATATTTTGCGCTATTGATGCGAACATTTTCAAACAATAATATTGATGCTGTTTGTTTTCAATATTTATTATTAATCATACTGTAAGGGCTCATGAAGCCGTCAATTAATGCATAATAAAAAAACATTTATTATTAATCATAAAGCATAGCATCTAACCTCTCAGATGGAGGCTTACACAGTTCGAATACAGTCGTATACGATCGTAAACGGATAAATACGTAGACCGTATACTGACTCAGTTTACTAGGATTGTAAACAATCATTTTCTTTCCTCTGTGTGATCGTATTCCTCCATATACGATCGTAAACGACCATGCTTGTTCTACCTGCGCTGATATGATACATTGTGGTGTCATGTTGACGACCTGATCAACTTATCGACATGAAACTACAACATCTAACATCAGATTATAATTAATGTATTTTAATAAATGATAGATATTGAAAACCAGCAACAACAAGATCAATATCATTCTTTCAAAATGTCCTCGTTGTTAAAACGCAATATTAGAAACGGAGAAAAATATTATTTATTTGACAGAGTATCCTTTTTGCTACATCAGTTATTAAGAAAAATAGTTATTCGCAGAGGAAAGCATTTCATTTTCAATGAATATTATTATTATTTTATTCGTGAATCAAATAGAAAAAAAAGCATTAACATACATACGCTTATGAAGTTTAAATCTCTCACAAGGATCACTTGTTAAGTGAACAGTTATTCCTAACGTTACATAATTTTAACTGAACGCAAATTATTTGCTTTGAACATTTTCTACAGAGTCATTAATGTTCGAATTTAGACATTCTGATTATATGAAAATGCGTTCGACGTAGCAAAATAATGTTGTCTATAATGCATGCATTTCATATATCCGACTGTTTCAACAGCAATCATAACAGAATCGTTTTATAATCACTTTAAGGATCATAGGTGAAAGATGCTTAGTCAATGTTTTTGATAACAGATAGAAATCCTTCTAAAAAATTCAATATTTCTCTGCGATTTTATCATGACAAGTTTTCTCATTTCACTCGACATACATCATCATTCATTCCAATTGTTTTACAAGAGAATATTAAGATATTGATAATTAATTGATAAGATAAAGGTAGAAAATAAAACGATTATATAAAAAACTAATGAACAGAAAAGAAATGTTCGTTGGAATTCATCGTTTAATATTTGTCTGTATGACGTGCACTGATGTTTGGCTCTAACTAGAATGAAACAAACAAAAGCCAGCTAATGATGAGAACTGAATACATTAGAATCAAGAAGAAAATGTGAGAGAAATTGAAATGCCTGAAAATAAAAACAACTTACCGGTCTGGAGCACTGCTCTAGTCAGACTTCAATCACAATCCAATAGCATACAAAATGGATATGTAACATGACAGGGAATCGCAGGAGGTCACAACAGTTCTGAATTCTCCTAACAAAATTTTCATACAAAAATTTTGATCATTACAAGCTATTAATCCTCAATGGATTGACACATCTGTGATCGAAAAGTAAACGTTCAGTTTATACGAAGATTCCGTTGAAGTATTTTTAGTTACTAACATTGAACTATTCGAAATCAACTATGTGCTTTGTCACTGTATGGTAAAGGAATAATTCATACCAAAATTGTATTCAGATGCTTTTTCTGCTCGTGCTACATACTTTGAAATAATCCTGTCTGGACCATTCTCATGGCAAATGAATAGCTTATATTAATCTTCTATTCAGATGTTTTAATCACTATGACTTGATGATTTAAACGATGTTAATTTTTTCAATTTACATGACGAATAAATAGTTCATAATAAAATTGTGTTCAGATCTCTTGGTGTCTCTTTAGTTGAATGCATTGAATGACTTTCAGTTGCCAATTTTTACGAAAAATGACTAGTTCATAACAATCGTTTGTTCAGATATTTTCAAGGGGGAAACATCGTACTTTGACTCTTCAAAGTACAAAAGTACATCAAAGTATCGCAAAGTACTTGGAAGTACCTCGAACTACTTTAAAGTACTTTAAAGTATCACGAAGTACTTCAAAGTACTTCAAAGTACCACGAAGTACGTCAAAGTACCACGAAATACTTCAAAGTACCTCGAAGTACAAGGAAATTATTTAAAGTAAATTATTCAAAATACTGAATTGCCCAAAATTTCTTCTCGTTTCTTGCATTGATAATAAGAGTGTCTTCCCTAGACAAACATCTTGTAAGCAAGATCTTGGCGAAGATACAAGGTACAGATATGTTAACAGATCTTGGAAATTCAGGTACAAGATAACTGTATTATCTTGTACCCAAGATTTAATTATAGATCTTACGTAAGAATCCATTAAATCTTGGATGTACACTAAAATAATACCTGCTGCATTCTTTAATATTTTTTCAATTTATTTTCACTTCAATTATTCCTCTTCCGAACTCCAGCAAGTCAGATGTTGGGATCTGACTGGCGATAAATTGGTCCGATATCCGTCGAACCAATTAGGGAAGTCCTCTCTCGATCATCGATCGAGATCAGCATTCTCTCGAATAATCGAGAAATAGTTGAGAAAATTTTTTTTTGCAAATTTGTGTTTCGTATGTTCAATCATGCTGTTTATAT